AGAGCTAATGCACCCGCCAATATACCCATGGTATTCAATTCTTTTAATGACATCTTCTGTCCATTCTCTATCCCTGGTTGAATTTTCGTGAAAGAAAAATATGTGATATCTTTTTCCGTACGGCAAAAACTTTGTAAACAAGCATGAGACAGCCATAGTCCTACGCTAATGTCCACGAAGTCCAACAATATAAAGCGACTGCTCTATCTAAATACACAAATCTATAAATGTAGAGCTTTAAATTCCTTGTTGTAAACTGGGCACTACTTGACCTCTACATGGAGTAAAAAAAGATCGGTTGATAAAAATCAAGTCCAATACTATAGTACGAGTACGTCAGCACAATGTTTTGATACGGTCTGCCAAGTCTGAATCGATCTCTATTTTGAATTAAAAACCCGCAAAAATTATAATGTTTATCAATCCGTTCAAAATTATTCTATTCTGGAAACCAAGCTACCTCATTACTCTGCTCGTAGTCTGTGTGGCTAGTGAAAACAATTATGAATTAAAATAAACTGTCTAAATGCGGTACGTACTGCCCATAATACATAATTGTTAATACATTTAGGTCACCTGGCACGTTGACTCATTGCTGTCTGTTTTCGTCATTCGCCACCCAACATTTAGTTTTCTCTGTTACTATACATGTATGGAGCAATTATGGACGAATGGAAACAATTTATATATACGTTATCCACAGACCCGGGCCTTACTGGGGTGAGGCCATTACTATAAAAAAAAATTATGTAATCTTCAAAAACACTTTTCTTTGTATACTTATTACCATCTAGCATAAATATAATTAGCAATTTTGTAGTTCATGAAAAATGCAAAATTTAAAGTCCCTGGATTCAGGGTCCAGAGTAGGGCTAGATTGAGCATATGATAAAAAAGCATTATAATTTTTTTATCTTCTTAGTTACCTCTTTACTCATCAACCTCCAGAGCACACAAGTGATGCGACATGATGTTCGAGTGGTAGACGTTTGAAGAGTGCCAGATACAATGACCGTGTTAAGCCAGAGTTGATCCCACTTCTGATGTTTTGGAGGTCCGTGTTTACTCTGTTCCCAATTTGTATTGTTTAAATGGACCTTGAGCTTAAATACAGTTCGTTATCTCCATATTTTATTTTATACTGTAGTTAATTACTCATATGATTAATCAACATGTACTTGCGTTTATTATTTCATCCAGTACGTTAACGTTTTCTTTATTATTATTTTTTGTTAATTTAGAATCTATTTTATTAAAAACGACTCAATTTTTATTCAATCACAATCAAAAGTCCTTCAATGTTTTCAACATATGATACACAACTGTGATAGTTCAATAGATACTTCAAAACCACAAATCTTATATGAGCATTTCATATATAAAATAGGTGGCAAATCTATATAAAAAAAAAACAAAACAAAACACAGTACACAATTACAAATAAAACTTCAATGAAATAATACTTTTAAATTAAATGATAATATAACATTTTTCAACATCATACGGTGTGCATTTTGTAAGGATTTACATTCAAAAAATGCAGAATGTGAATGCATCAAAATTCACGTCATAAAATTATCTTAATCCTTAAATGTATTTATCACTTTGATATATGTCCGATATAAATAAACAACTTTTGATCATTTACATTTAGAAACATGCATGGGAACCTGATGTTTTCTTTATTTGACCACGATTTGTTATCTCTAAACCACGTGATTCAGGTGATCGATGTTGAAAATCACTAAGTTGAAGATTTTTCTCGATTCATTTCTTTAAAAAAAAAAAGCGAATGTCCGTCGACGATAATTGTCATTATCCAGATAGGGGCGTGTAAATTAATAAGTCGATCTGCCCCAAACTCTGCGAAATTAACAAAGAATATACAAGATGTATACTAGATATATATACATCACTAAGCTCCTTGATAAGAGGTCATCTAAGTGCCTTAAATCGATTTCTACAGGTTTTTTAGTATTTATAAACCAGTTCGTCCGTAGCAAGGTTTTGTTGCGAAATTTTTTCAGGGTCACAGTTATTCAATTTTTTTGTTCGAATATAGAAAAGTTTAATACAAGTACTACTGTAATGGGGAAAAGTGAAATAAAATAACTAAGTTAAAAAAGCTTATTATTTATTTTATTATATAATAAAAAGTCGACTGAATGGTAGATGTAATTGAAAGGTCACGGAGAATCTACTGACAGGCTCAAAACTTCAAATAAATTTAAAACATCAAGAGGAACAATAATTTGAACTTAAAATAAATGTTGATTGTTAGTTAAAATATTGAATTAGCTGAATAAACAACGGTCCGCTCATTCTTTATTTTTTAATACATTCTTCCTATCATATAATTGTTCTTCTCACTTATTTTTCTAACTTTTATACCGATACTTTTTCTGTTACAAGACTTCAGATGACTCATCTGTTTCATATTTTACTAAGAAAAGAAGTTAATTGGTAACCTAACAACAAAAAAGAAGTTAATGGTAATCTAACAAAACTTTATAAACGTGATGACTTAACTTTTCCACAGTCAATTTCCCTTATTCATATAGCAGTATACCCTTATACCATCTGCATGTATATTTCTCATTTGATTCGGTACGCAAGAGCATACTCTACGTGCGAACAATTTCTAAAACAAAGCAAAGTTGATGAAACAAGAATACTAACAGTCTCGTTTAAAGACAATATTTCGCAAATTCTATTGTCGATACAATTGACCTTGTCAACAAATACAATCTATCACTAAGGCAAATGCTGACGTTTTTCATACAAATTGTCAGACCATTATTTAAAATACAAACTGAATTGTCGGCGGAGTTTTCCGCAGGGGTGGCTTTCTCCTCCATGGCACCTGAACCCACCTCTAATGTTTTTGAGGTCCGTGTTCGCTCTGCTTTTAAACTGTATTGTTTCAATGGATTTTTGAGCTTTGATTGCTGTTCGTTATTTCCATATTTCACTGATGATGACTTGCAATCAAAAAAGTGAAGATAATGAACAGTAATCGATCTAAAAAAAAATCTATGAACAATATTTATATGAACAGGGCATAAGACACGGTTTCCCGGAAATTCCAGGGGTGGGATCAGGTGCCTAAGAAGAGTAAGCATTCCCTGTTGACCGGTCACATTCGCCATGAGCCCTATGTATTGATCATTCCATGGTCAAAGGAGATGGGTGAACATGACGAGCGATAAGCCTACAGTGTGACAAACATGAAGATGAAAAATTAAATTTCAATTATATCAAAATTTTCCTTGATATTTCGCCTAACATTAAAATATACTTTATGTAAAATCTCTACAATTTGCAAAAATCCCTCAAAGTTTGAAATTATTTGCCTGTGAAATATTAGACACACAACTAAAGCGGGCAAAAAGAGTTATTTTCGCATACTATAACACTATTTTCGATATGAGTGGGTCTTCGCTCCACCTTTTTGAAAGTTAATCCTCAAAGTTTGCATAAAAATATACATTTTTTGCTTACCAAAAATATGGAGCAACATTCGCATCTTTTCGAGAAATACTTGAAGTCAAGGGTCATATCATAAACATGATTTAAATGCAACTGTTCGTCAGGACTTGTGTAGCCTAGTGGTTAGCGTGCTAGTCTCGAAAGAAAATGATTTTCAGGATTTTTATTGCTAGAGTTCGAACCCCACGAATACCACATTAATTTTTTTAATAAAAGAATAAATTTTGCCGAGAAAATTGTCCTCAGAAAAGTTTTGTTTATCACAATTACATAAATTTCAATAATGAGAACTTTACTCTAAATATTAAATTCACAAATTGAACATGATTTTTATATTTCTGAAGCTATAGGCTTTCTGCACGCTATGTTCGCCCATCCCCTTTAGTATAAAAAAACAAAGGACTAACAATTGAAATGAAACAAGTCTGCCAAAATACAACCGAATGATAGGTTATTTGTTATCAAGGTCATTTCAACTACTTTAGAATTTATGAAATGTTGACTTTAAACGAAGTTGTTGAAATCCCTGAAACATCAAGGTATCTGTCAGTAGCCAGCTTCAATTTAAAAACTGATACTACGCGGAGCATGTTCTTGAATATCGAATTAGTTGAAAGACGTACACACCATATGTAAGTGATACCCGAATATTACTACATAAATAAGAAAATTTGATGATGGAAAAGCTGAAGTCATCTCGTTTGTCATACAACTGTATTGTTAGTTGGCCCTTATTGTCCACAGTCAGTACAGCATCCAATTATGAAACAGATGTGGAAGACTCTGTCTTTTATTTCAAGTTCACTGGGCTATATGGAGTCGACATGCAATGGTTCATATTGAAGTAGTAAAACTTTCCGTTTGAATGGAACGTTTTGAGCTTTCCTCTGAACGCGGATCGTCACATAATAACATGCTCATTTTTTTCAGAAAGGAAGAAAAGGGCCAAATGGTTCATTCAAATACCCCTGGAACAAACAGACTGGCAGTTTACACAAACACAAAGTAAGCACGTGTTCGACCAACACATGTATTGCAATTACTTCATTTAACATGACAAATTCATAATTTTGTACAAACGTATTCGTTGCAATATGCGAGTTTTATACAGAAGCAGTGAGTCTCTAAACTCTCTTTCCTATAACTTCATAATATCTCCATTTCAGCAAAACTTATTTTGCTAGTCACAGAGAGTGGGTGTCTTAAAACACCGAAACGGATATTGCTTTCTCCTTTCTAAAGAAATGGGCGTCATTAACTCATGTGTCAACTGACCTTCGAAAAAAGACGGAAACTAAAACGTTCCACTCGAACGAAAAATTTTACCACTTCAATGCTCATCATTGTATCAAGGGGAGTAACAACTGTTTACTGGTAAAACGTAGTCGATATATCTCAATGTCGAGTTGAAGGCCAAAGCAAGTGTTTTCTTCTTCTCATGTAAGTTTTTGAATAAATCCTGCTTCGGGGAAATATAAAGGTCAGCTAATAAAGGAAAAAATTAGTGCCCATCGAAATTCCAACAGTTTATTGAAAGACCTGGTCTACGAAGATTACAAAAATGTCAATAAAGTACTTTATGTTTCATTTTGAAATAACCATTATCAATAAACATGGCTTTCCACTCAACAATCAACCATCTTTTCATTCAAGAAAATCTGCTTAATATAATGATTCCATTTCATTTCAATATCATTTATTTTTCATCAATTGCATTTTCCAAGACGATTAAACACGAAATTACTGACAATAATTTCTTAAGAAATGTTTCATCACTTCACATCATCACTTGTATTTGTTCTGACAACCGCCACATATTGTCCATGCTACAAATAAAAATAGATGTACATTGAGTTCATCGGAGAATTCGACTTGAAAAGTCAAGCACACAATTTACTCTAACACTTACTTGATTTTGTTTTTGTTTTCCATTTCATTTTTATTGCTTTTTTTCATCCTTTTAGGTGACTTGGTGGAACTGCCGACTGTCTGGAAGCCAATCCTGAGATGTTTTTTAATAAATATCTAAAGACCACAAACAAAGATACAAAAATAGTTTTATAAAATCATAATTAACCTACAAGATTTGTGAGTGTTTTCAAATTCAAGAAATGGTCTTCATTACATACAAAAATGGGATATTTTTCAATATATTCCATTATACCCCTTTTTTCTGAGTAGCTTATATGGAAATTCATTGTTAATTTAGCACCTAAACTTTTGAAACTTATGTCCCTCAAATCAAATGATTTTCTAGTTAAGGAGAGGCCTAAAACTTACTTTTTTAACTTCCTTAATAGGATTTAGATCTTCAGCATCAGTTCTGATTGCCTTTGATTGATTCCTCTGATCAAAATTGCTCTACTCTGCTCACCCGCCATAGACTGGATCCTGTTAATGACAAAAACAATGGGGCATTACATTAACGCTGAATCACAAGCTATTCAAAAAAAAAAAGATAATGACATTTAATAATGACATTACATATACCAGGAAATAAATTTCGGTTTGGTACAGTATTCAATCTGGATTTTCTCGTTCTCTAGATCTATCCATTAGAATTCATAGGTCTCAATTACTAGTGTCATTTGAAATGACATGCATATATTATTATTGTTCCCGACAGACACTTTTTCTTAACATTTCCAGATCCTTCTATATGACTTTTCTCAACATTACTACTGTTGAGTTTGTCATCTAATATTGATTCTGAATAATACAAGAAAAAATTCCCTCAAAATGATCTCGGTTATCTTAATTTGGGAAATCCAATACTACACTAATTCAAACAAGAGACACATGAGCCACAACGCTCCCCTCAGTTAAAGCACTACTGTTCTTCCATCACTTTTTAAAAAGAATTTTATTCCAATGAAAAATTGTGACTCGTATTATGGCCCTCCCTCACTCTGCCCCACCCTGACTGTAAGGGGTTTCTAAATCCACACAACATGGTACTGCTTAAATATCAATGACTTACATGGCCTTGCAGTTATTAAGATTTTTTGTATACATGTGTAGTGTAAAATTTTATTCTGATTTTAGCCAACTCTCACCCAGGGGTCAGAAATTTTAAGAAAAAAAAAAAAAGATTCAAAACAACTTGGAAATATTTGCAAATGATTTTATGATTAATGTTTTTTTTTTTTTTTGGGGGGGGGGGGGGGAGTTGACTTTAATTATTTTCTTTCACAGTCTAAAGTAAAAACTTTGTTCTCTTATTGTGGCCCGATCCTATTCCCGGGGCATGATTTGAACAACTTAGAATCAACACTATACATCAGGATGCTTTCATTAACATTTCACCGTTTCTGCTCGAATGATTCTTTTGAAGAATTTTGAATATCTTTTCTTTATACCCTACCCAACCCCCGGCAGCCATAATTTGAAATATTTAGAATCTGAAATTGTCTGAAAGCTTTTACGTAAGTTTCATCTATTCTGGCCCAGTGGTTCTTTTTCCCTATGTATTTCAGAGTAAAACTTTTTAATTTCGTATTATGGGCCTTCCCTAGATTTGAACAATTTAGAATCTACACTATTTTAGAAAGCTTCCACATTAGTTACCTTTTCTAACCCTGTGGTTCTTAAGACCTTTTTTTAATGGATCCACCCTATTCTTGCTTTTTCTTGATTTCTCCCCTTAGAAGGGGGTTTTACCATTCATTTGAATAATTAAGAATTCCATTCACCCAAGGATGTTTTTTCCCTGATTTTGGCAAAAATTGGCCCAGAGATTTTTGATTAGTCAAAAATGGTGAAAAGTTTACAGACAGACGCCAGATGATTAGGAAAGCTCACTTTAGATTTCAGCACAGGTGAGCTGAAAGTGCAAGGATCAATACCTAAACATTAGATTTTTTAACTCCTGTCGACTTTTTCCTGTTTTACTTAAATTTTAACAAATAAATCGTTTGAAATCCTCTACAGCAAGATTTCTTTACATACCGGCCACCATGTGCATTTCTAGAATAGCTTTTAAAAATTATTACATAATGTCGCACAGTTCGTCGTAATTTTTTCAGACATGATCTAGCAGTATTTTTCGAAGAACCATGATTATAGTGCACATCAATAACATATTGTAGCATTGCCTTGTGTTACACTAAATGACACGGTATGGATCTTGTTTCCTATGTACATCACAGAAGGAATGCTTGAACTTGAAGCAGCTGGGTTTCTCAACATCGTTCATCAAAATATTTTTTAAGATTTTATTTTCTTAGTGTAGCCAGCTTGTGTAACAAGTCTCAATAAGACCACATTAAAACTGTATAGGTAGAAGGAGTAGCATTTAGAAAGAATATTGTAGAATTTTTTTTAAAACTTCATAAAAACGTTCGTTGAAATTTTCTATTAATTTTAAATCGGACCAAAATTGTAGAAGAGGCTTTTTCTAAGAATTTCCTGGGGATTTTAATTTTCAGTAATGTTCATAACAAAACAATTCGTCAAAATAACCATGTGTGTTAGTGTATAGTCGACTTGTAATCGGACCAAAACCTAACACTCGCCACTGAAAATCGTATACAATGCTTTTGTAATGTTTCAAGGCAAGAAATTCAAAAATATTTAGAAAAAATATCGCCTTTGTGATAGTTATATTGTAAACAATTACATGTAGCTTGTAAAACAGACGGAGAAGATTTTACAAACATCGAATGCATTTCTCATCCAAGGAGTTATAAAGAAAACGTTATGGAAATACACACTTCAATTTTTTTTAAAATAAGACTTCACACTTATACAACGGACAAATTGTAAATATTTAATGTTGATAGATAATTACTTACTTTCAGTGAGTAGAAAAGCAATCCACAGTGTCATTCTTGATTGTGTAATTATAAGTAAAATGTGCATCATCTCCTTCTCAAGTTGTAGTAATTACTATCAGATACATGAACATGTACAAAAAAATATGTACAAGATCAAAACTTATTCTGGAGCTGCAATGTAGCACAAACACTGACATTCAATGTGATGAAAGCACAGGTACCAGTGATACAATATTAAAACTATAAACTTTTTAATTCATTTTATTACAAATATGACAAGTTCTACGATAGGGAGAGAGAGAGGGTTTAAATTGACCAAACTTTTCTTTTTTCTTGGGTGCATGGTACATGGTAAAATTGTAGTTCGTGGAGAGGCGGAACGACTTCCAGTTTTAAGCTCACTACTGTAAATCTTAAGCACACCTAAAACAGTCTACTTGTATACCCCCCCCCCCCCCCCAAGTAATCTACTTGTATATTTGCGACAAGGTCTCGAATAAAATTAGTTCAAAATGATGCATTTTTAATTAACTAGAATATCAAAATTATAAACACTCCAGGTAAGTCTATTGCAAGAACAAAACCCATCTATTTTAAGACTGGGGTACTTGGTGCGTTCTTATCACTGCAGTCCTTTATCTGAACAACTGATTCCTCAGTTGCATCGAAGAAACTGTTTATAAACTAAGCAAGTAATAAAAAGAGGTGAAGCATAAATTTCATCAGAAGAACAGGATTGAAATGGTCTTCATTTTATAAATTTTATAAATTCCTATCACTGTCCATTATCTTCGATCTTTCCAAAACGACCGACTTTGACCTACTTGTGGGTCAAGACACTTTCCAAATACAACTGATGCATAAACTAGGTTTAATAGTCCTATGCTTCATAGTATGCAAGATATAATCTGGACATGATCTGCATATCTAAACTAATAAAATTTTAAACTGAATTAAGTCATCAAGATCTATTTATGGATTGCAAAACACCCTCTCTAAAATGCATCAACTAAGAAGGATTATTGGTCCAAGGTCTCACGATCACGGCATATATGCAGTCTCGGTGTATGAAGACTTGATTCCATCAATATGTAACTGTCAAAAATTTGCAAATTCTTTGATATTTCAATAAATCAGTATTTTTTTTTATCTTTAAAACATCCCCGAAGCTCTAATTTCCCAAGTGGAGGTGGCTGAAATTTTAAAACACATATAGTGCCTTAAACTTGCGCAGAACGACTGAACATATAATATGCTCAAGTGCTTCTGTAGTGTGTTAAAAAAATCACTTCTATTGAACTTCAGACGTCTGGGCTGAAAAATATCAAAATATCAAACAATATATTTAGTGGGTCTTGAACTGTTTCTTATTTACCAGAGTATTTCTTAACATTCATGTTATCTGAACCTCTTCTTTAAAGAGGGTGTTGCAGTTCTATTGTTATTTTCCCTAAAGTTGTAGCAGTTTAAAAGAAAAAAATTAAGTAACGGAAAACGGTCTTAATTTTTTTCAGGTACAATAGTATATACAGCACAATGTAGAATAATATTTAGAAACTGCATATCGACTACCAATTTGCCATTAAATGAAGTGTAAATTAGTCACATAGCAAAATAAGTCAAGTTTTCTGTTTTTCAAATAGGGAATCCCCATTGTTCTGTAAAATTGCCTCCTTGAAACAGAATGAATTTGATATACGCATAAAGAGACAGGATTTTTCTTCAAAACTGCCATTTCCGATTTTTGTTTCAAACAGGCATATTTTTGAAAAATCACAAAAATCGAATAAAAATTATTATTCATCCGAAATGCAAAATGTGCACATAAAATAGCACTTGATACTTCAGTGTCGGAGCTGGTCTAGTGGTAAAGCGAGTGGACTTTATGCAAAGATTCATTTACCTGAGAATGGGTTCGAATCCAGGAATGACTGGTATACACATATTTTTTTCTTAAATATTGGAAGTACAATGTAACATCTCTCTTGAGAGAGAAAAAGAGAGGGAGAGAATGTCAGAAAGTTAATGGGTAATATTTTAAATGCATGCAGAATTAAATTGTTTTCCTTGATATTGTGATCTAAAACTAATAAGACATACATTTTATGTTATTATGTAGTGGCGATGTCTTAAAAAATAAAGTACTATCATTTCAAATGATTTATTTTTTTTCATACTCATTTCGTTTCATTATTGTTCTGTTAATTAGTGGCTCAAATTTGACTTGAAACAACTAAATTGAAATGACTCAATGGAATTTTTTGGATATTGCATTAGCAGCGTGATTACTGGACCCTTTTATTTTTAAGTCGGATAAATCAACAAGATAGGAAAAATTATGCATGAAATAAACGTAAAATGTGAAATGTTTTGTTATAACAAGCTGGCCATACATATACCCGCCGTATAAATAAAGTCATCTACGTAGCATTATCAATATTTAGAGATAACTCTTCATGGGTCGTGCGCATTTAAATGTCCTTCTCGATTTAGGGAATAATTGCGAGATTATGCAACACCCTCTTTATCAAAAATGTTCCTGATACGAATTTCCTACAAGATGTTCCGTCAAAACAAGGACATCGCTTTCAATAAATTCTAAAGAACAGTTTAATGCTAAATAATTTAATCAAACGTTGCAACCCCCCCTCCCCCCCCCCCCCCAAAAAAAAAAAAACCCACTTAGGTGTAAATTGTATTTATCTAGATTTTTGTATACTTTTATTGTATTTTTTTTTTTTAAAAAGAAGCTTAATACAGAGAATTCATAGGGACATATGATATAAAGAAGATGGGCGAACAAGGCGAGCACAGTGCCTAAAGTGCTACAAACATGAAGACGAGAAATTAAATCTCAATTATAATAAATTTTCTTTGATATTTCATCTAATATTAAAGTATATTTTATGTAAAATCTCCAAATTTTGCAAAAATCTCACAAAGATTGAAATTATTTGCCAATGAAATAGTATACACACACTAAAGAGGGAAAAACGACCATTTTCTCATGCTATAATACATTTCTTTTTACATGAGTGGGTCCATTTTTGAGAAAGTTTATCCTCAAAGTTTGCGTAAAAATATACATTTTTTGGTTAACAAGAACATGGAGCAAAGACCCACTTTACCTTAAAAATGCACTTTTAAGTCGAAACATTCGCATCTTTCCGAGAAAAACTTAAGTCCATTTAGTCAAGGGTTATATCACAAACATGATTTAAATGCCAATATTCAACAGGAGCTGTAGTGGTTAGCACGTTAGTCTCAAAGGAAAATGATATTCAGAATTTTTATTGCTAGGGTTCGAGCCCCACAAATACCGATTTTTTTTTTTAAACAGAATAATTTTTGCCGAGAAATTTCCCCACAGAAAAGTTTTACAGTATTTATCATAATTTCATAATTTTCAATTATGAGAAAATAACTTTAAATACTAAATTCAAAAATGAATATTATTTTTATATTTTTGAAGCTATAGGCATTCTGCACGCTTTGTTCACCCATCTCTTTTATTTTGCTGAAAAAGCTCTCAGATTTTCTCAAATTACAAATTATCATCTAAGAACCATTTGATTTTCTATAAATAAAATCGTGTTCTTGACCTTTCCCACTTGTTAAGAACTCAAAAATAGAGAATTTCTTTAAGTCATAGAACTTTTTTTTTTTTTTTTTTTTTTTAGAAATTAGTGTTAAACATAGAACAGGATGAGACAGACGAGCGGACAGATTCAAATTAACATCATCCTATTTTAGCGAAAGCGAAGGATAAAAAAAGGATTTTTAAATAAATATGATTGAATCCAAACAATATAAACAATTGATATTAATTGATATTTTAAAATATACGAGTACATGTATGTAGTTTGAATTTGTCAAATCCAATTTCAGACCTGCCTTCTCCAAACTGTCATCAGTAGCATTCTGCAATTTTGTTCGCAAGATTTGACATTCATGCATAAAATCTTCAATTTTCAGTTTTTCACCAAAGAAAATTGAAACAAATTATTCGTCGCTTTACTAGCATAGGACACGTCTGAATATTATATCCCGCATTGTTCAAGGCCTTGAGTTCTGAGTAAAGGTCTAAATTTGAACCCCCTTACCGGTATAAGGTGACGTCTCTACACGAGCGAAAACTCCTCGAATGGGACATACACAACTTATAATCAATCTTTAATCAATTTTAAAACCGAAAACTGTGAAAATATGGAAATAGAGAGATTAGATATTTAAAACGTAGAGCATATGCAGGTGGACAAAATCCTAAAAATTACAGGTAGATTAGGAGAGTGGACAGGTCTGCTGTTTTCTAATTTTCCGTCATACAGTGTATATCACTCAATTTAATGAACATCGGCTTGGCTTTAAATTTATTCCAGAATACTTTTCCTGTTTCGTATGCAAATAAAAAAATCTTTACAAATCTTTGATTTACTTTTTACACCGAGTTGGCAATATCTTTATTATCTTAGCCATACACAATAAAATTTATTTCTCAAGGCCAGTTTTGAAAGCCTTTTTTGTTGTTAAATTTTTCCAGTAATATTTTTTTATTGTTTGAGCCAACTCTTTTTCGAAATGCAGAGTACTGAATTGCGTTGTGTCAAGAGGGTTATAATTCTTGAATGCAGAACAATTACTGTGACGTTTCGTACGCTTATGAGCAAAACTGAATAACGTCACACCAGGACAAATTTTTCGTTGTGAGTGGCATCAATATATAGCTGAAATGAAAGATATGACAATCATTTATAATGTTATTACATGTATTCTTAAATTGCAATTACATGTGGTTGCTTTTGTACAAATTACAGAATTTAAAACAACAGAAACTGTTAGGCATAGTTCGTAAAAGAAACTATGCAGTCCCCCCCCCCTTTTAATTGAACCTCCCCTACAAGAAAATAAATTTTTATTCCTCGGCATCAGAAAAAAAATGAAACCTGCTATTTTTTGAAAACTATACAGTCCTGAATTGGTTGTTTTTGAACACGTCAAACATGTATTCACCCCCTTTCTTTTTTTTTTTTTTTATACGAAACTAAATGCAATCCAAATTAAAACTACATAAAATTTCCTCTACTAAGTGTAAAATTTGAGATGAATCTTCCATTCGTAACACAATCATCTGTTTGGTAAAAAATAAAACATTAAATTACATTCATAAATGCGATCAACTAAAAAGGTCACAACTCGTGGTTTAGATTCACTTCTTTTGTACACAAGACACAACTTGGGCAACATATAATAGACTAGTTCTATTGCTTTCGTCATCAGCTCCTATGTTTCCAATACAAGAAACTTGTGGTTTTTAAGTTACTCATAAATCAATGTTACAAAGAAGATGGGCGAACAAAGCCAGCGAAATGCCTATAGTGCTACAAACATGAAGGTGAATTAAATCTCAATTATAACAAAATTTTCTTTGATATTTCA